CCCTCCCCCCCCCCCCCGCAGTGGCTCAACAGCAAGCCCAAGAGCTTATAACGCTAAATGTAAGGTTTCGATACCCGCGGTGGCCAAAGTACAGAGAACTCATTTTTCAGCTTTGTGCTTTACAGCAAACATACAAACAAACTCGTACTTCAGGAATTTAATTTTTATAGGGATTATTAAAGAAACTTTTGACTGTGATGTAAGGTTCAATCAATTATCTATATGAATTATAAAAGTTTTTCTTTTTCTAACGATTGTTATTACGTTTCACAGAAGGTCGAATATCGAAAGCTGGCTTAACTTACAATGCTTTCTTTCCACTAAAACTTGCCTTTAGATACCAATACAATCAAAATTGAACATATCTAGATATAAACTTGGTTTGCATTGTTTATATTATATGAAAACACCAAAACTGGTGAACAAAGATATAGTAATAATTTATTATTCGAATCTGCTGAGACAATGTTTACTTATGTCCAGCTGGCATTATTCAAAATTGGAACTTTTTACCTCCCCCCAGTTATATTTTTAATGTTTTTACAGAATTTTCTCTCAAAGCTATTCAAAGCGTTATTTACGCATAGCCGTAGAGAGAGGGAAGGCAGCTAATTAATATCACCTAACGCCAAGTTTTTGGGTTCCTCTTGTCTGAACAAATAACGAAATCTTATCGTCATGGCCCAAAGGTAAGGAGCACAGATTTGTGGTACTGGAACGCGAACTAAGAATCGTCGGATTCTCAATCTGAATACGTTCCACTAGGCCACGCTCGGCTCACTCACATCACATTCCGTAAAAATATTTTTAATTACATCTGTGGTGAATTTCTTATAGAAAGACAAAGCTTCAACTTAATTCAAATAAATGTGAACCATTTTGCTTTTTTGAAGATATTATCACTGAAGAAGACGTTTTAATAGATCCAGCAAAGGCTGAAGTATGAAAATAATCAACACTAAAAATCATACCCGAACTCCGAAAACTGTTGGATTTCTTTTTTTAAAGTCGTTTTCTGATATTAGATATTTTCTGGCTTAGAGAAAACACACAAGTTGACTGTGAACAGGAATCTAAGTACTCTTAAGGAAAACCGTAACACCAGTGTTAGCTTATCTAGTTTGTAAAGATCCTCTTGAGTTTAAACACGATGTGGTATTATTGGTAGAATTGGAACCAATAGGTAAGATCCAAACAAATTCTAAGGAAATGTATTGAAAATAATAAAATAGACAAGGAAAGCAAGTTAAAAAAGAAACAACATAAGATAAATGTGTTAGACTTACTCTAAGCTAGTTGACTTCCTTGTTTTTGTAACTAGTTGGCTGCTCGAGAAGAGAGGGATCAGACCTGTACACTCAATAAAGACAAAACGGATTATGTCTGGACCA